TTCGGCACAACGTCGTCACATTAACGCACACTTGACAACTTGACATTCATGGACTTTATTGGCCTATGAATTGCCTCTTATAAGGAAAGAATTCTGATGAGAATAATCAGTGCACACTAAAAACAAACCATCGTTATTCGTCAACGAGAATCAACTTAATTGTTACTGAACCATCCGATAAAATCATTTTTCATTGTTGTTATTGCTATCAGTTTATTGATCAGTTTGATCACTGATTTGAATCTGTACTAAAATTGCATCCGAATCGACAATATACAATATATTGAATTGAATTGTTCTGGCTACCGAAATTGACAGCAATAGAAAAAAATGCGCTGGTGTTTTAGTAGTAACAATATATCACCACCATTATCACCGAATTATGACAACTTTAATTCATCACCGAACGCATCTTCATCATCAACAGCGCCAAGCAATGATACATTGAGCCATACTCTGAACAGGTCTGTAACTATATCACCTGGACTGGTCAGGCTATCAAACGTTTGTAACGTTGTTGTACCAATCAATACAAACGATTTATAGTCCCAAAATCTTTTAGATCAACGCATTGTTCTCATATCTTGGATATTTTTGTTGCGGAGAAATATTTGAGAGGAACAAAGCAAATTGACAGTAGCAGCACCTTGTTTTGTTCTATAATCAGTTCTCCAAATGGTCAGCCACCTGGTTCGCCTATATTAGTAGTAAAATTTTTTCGATGAAGGCATGAATCAGTTTCGAGTCTCGCTAATAGAAGAAACTTTACTAGAGCCTCAGCGCTTTGTTACTGAGCTTGGAAAAGGCAAATTTTGGAAATTTTATAAAGCAATTCGTACGCTGCTTTCACAGCTGGTGAGATTTATAGTGTCAAATCACTAGAATGAGTTCTTTCGGAAGAACAATGTGAAGACTCATGATAATATATGGATGCAAATAGCATCAATGTTGCTCTTTACGTTTTCTGAGATCTATATTAAATTGAAAAGTTAACCCCCATTAGCATTCACTGAAACAAATTGACTTTGAAAGCAGAAAAGTTTACTGTGGATCAACATTTTGATGAAGCATCCAAAGGGCATCATTTTTACCCAAAATAAGGGGCATTTTGAGGAAATTTCTCGATCAGATCTCCAAAATGTTTGGTTCCACACTTCTTATTCTAAAGTACTCACTTTCAGAGATTCCGATCATGTAGTAACAGAAATACCGATAGCTGTAAATGGTGGCAACACTATGAATCGACCTAAGATAGCGCCGAAACCGAAATTTGTGCAATCGCTGAATGACGACGACAGACGATTCCCGCAGCAACAGCAACAGAAACCACAAATTAGATCACAAACCTCAAAAGATGAAATCGATTCTGATTACGATAAACCGAGAAAAGATATCGACGATGTGGCTGAAGTGAATTGGCGACTTGGCAGATTGGGTTCGTTCACACTTTTCCTTGATTGATTCC